AGTCTCAGAAATCCAGCCCCTTCCATGAAAAGTACAAGAGCACCTCTGACAATACTCACAGACAGGCAGCACATATTTTGAGTGTGAGAGTAGAGTTGCTTTGCTTCCCAACTCACAGAGGAGTTCCGTACAGAGGATCTGAGCAAAAATAACCTTGATTTTTATAGACTTGTATTTTTTTCCAAGGCCTTGGCCCATAATCTTATTAAATTTAACAGTTCCAACTAAGTTTCCCTGGGAAACTTTGAAAATCGACTCTTGGAAAACTTTGGAAACATTGACTTGTAAAATATATATTTTTAATTTTCAATGGACAAAACGATTATTACCCCCAAAATTAGAAATATATGATGCAGAAGGATATAATTGATGAAGTAAATATTCACCTCCCTGAGAGGGTCACAGCTTCATGTGCAAAATTTTAGAGACTTTTATATGTATGGTTTTATATGTGTGTGTACACACCCACGAACAGATGTTTCTTTTCTTTCTTTTTTTTTAAAAAATATATTTTATTGATTTTTTTTTTTTACAGAGAGGAAGGGAGAGAGATAGAGAGTTAGAAACATCGATGAGAGAGAAACATCGATCAGCTGCCTCCTGCACAACTCCCACTGGGGATGTGCCCGCAACCCAGGTACATGCCCTTGACCGGAATCGAACCTGGGACCCTTCAGTCGCAGGCAGACGCTCTATCCACTGAGCCAAACCGGTTTCGGCGTCTTTTCTTGAACAAAAAGTGAATTTTATGCTAAAAGACAAGATCTTAATTATTCCTGCCACAGAAAATAAATACATAACGTGATAGAGATGTTAGCTAATGCTATGGTGCTAATCATATTACAATATGTGAATGTATTACGTAACATGTTATATACCTTAAACTTACACAATGTTGTACACCAGAGATTGCCAACCTTTCGGACCTCATGGACCACCTGTGGTCCACAGACCACCGGTTGGCAACCGCTGTTGTACACCAATTATATTGCAATGTTTTTAAAATGAAAAAAAAAAATGAATCGTCAAATACCAACTGTTCTTCAGCCTTTTGTTTTCATTTAACAATTCATTGAGGATGTCTTTCCTGGGTGGTGCAATAGGGGATACTGATGTTGTGCAAGAGGGTGAGGACCTGGGGCCCTGAACCAAGAGGGAACAGAGCAGGTGAGGAGACAAGGGGCATTTGCTGCCCACGCTGGCCTGAGGATGCTCTTAACTGAGATGTTTCTAGAAGTGATTATGCCCTGATCCAGGGACTTGACTCTGGGGTGCGGCTACAGTGTTTGGACAGGTTCAAGCCTTGGACTAATGAGAGGGCACAGTCCTCTCATTGCCACGTGCAAGTCCCAGCTTGGAGGGCAGAGCCTTCCCAGCACAATTATAGCCAACAGCTATAGTTGTAAGCATGAACCTATGGTCCGAACACATGGTTCCACATGTCTGCGTGATGTGGGCTTGATAGAGTTCAGGTGCATGTAGTTGAGTAGGACTGAAATCCACGAGAATGTTGTAAACAGCTTGATCATGCCCTTACGTTGCCTCGTGGCATCTGCTATAAAATAAAGACACGGCTTGTGGGCGCTGGCACTGTCTCTCCATCCGGGAGCAGCATCCCACCGAGACCCAGCTTTCATTCTCTCGTCTGTCTTTTCTTAATCCTTTCATCGCCCCCACTCGGGTTCACCCTTGGTCGTGCTGGTGTAGCACACTTGACCAGTTTACAAGGCAAACGGCCCTCAGGTGGAATGGGACTCCAATTCAGGTCTTTGATCCCAAAACTGGCAAAGTGAGCTATGATCCAATTGGAACCAATACTCCATAGGGCAGTGGTGTGTCCACACAATCCAAATCTATTCTGCCATACAAAAGGAATGACGTTCTGGTCTATACTACATACACCATGGGTGAGCCTCGGGAACATGATGCTCCGTGAAATAAGCCGGACACAGAAGGACAGATACTGTAGGATTCCACTTATATGAGGACCTACAGGAGTCAAATTCACAGAAGCAGAGAGCAGAAAGGTGGGTGCCAGGGGCTGGGGAGGAGGGAGTTCATGTTTAACGGGGGCAGAGCTTCAGTTTGGGAAGATGAAAAGCTCTGGAGGTGAATGGTGGTGATGGTTGCACAACATTGTGAATGTATTTAATGCCACTGAATTGTTCACTTAAAAAACAGTCAGTTGTATGTTGTATGTATTTTACCTCAAGGACAAAAATGGACTGCATTTGCTTTTCAAGAACAAGCTACATTTCTTCCTGTTCTTGATCTTTTCCCTCTCATTTTCCTGTAGAAATTGGCCCTTTGTAGAGAACCCTGTGGGTGTGAGGCCTGGCCCCAACGGCACGGAGCTCCACAAAACGTCTGTTCAAGAAACACAATAAATCTGAATTGCTCTTGAAAGCTTCACGGTTTGTTTTCCCAGAACTGAGAGCGGAGGACACTGGGAACAAGATGCTCCAGGACAGGAGAGGCCCTGGAGGCCCGTCAGTCCCCAGCTGTTGCAGGCAGCTCGCTCCAGCAGTGACTGTGAGAAACACTACGCCCTAGACCAGTGATGGCGAACCTATGACACGCGTGTCAGAGGTGACACGCGAACTCATGTTTTTGGTTGATTTTTCTTTGTTAAATGGCATTTGAATATATAAAATAAATATCAAAAATATAAGTCTTTGTTTTACTATGGTTGCAAAGATCAAAAAATTTCTATATGTGACACGGCACCAGAGTTAAGTTAGGGTTTTTCATAACGCTGACACACCGAGCTCAAAAGGTTCGCCATCACTGCCTTAGGGTGTCACTCCCCACGGGGGACACACTCGGCCACCGCCCACCACACAGAGGAGGCCGCTTGTGGTGGCGCCTCCACAGCTCCCTCCCCCCAAACTTCACGGGACCCCTCCTGGTCTCTGTCGGAATCACCGTGGGATTTGGAGAAGACTCACCTTGCATGTGACTCAGCCAAATATTTTCAGAGAAAGCAGCAGAATAAAGAATGCAGCAAGAGAAGTTAAGCAGGAGAGTTCCAGTGGGGAGAGGCATCGACTAAAAGCACGAATTTAGAGAATTTTGTGGCTCCCTCAAAATTACACAACTTCTTAGACTGCACCCTCCAGTCTCATCTCCAGCCTTCAAAGGAGGTTGCAGAGGATAAAAGGAAAAGGGACTACAGAGCGGAAAAGCTGTTGCAAAGAAGGAAGGTTTGAAAAGCTGAGTCTGAGAGGGGAGGCTGGGGACTCACATGGTGCCTCCAGGGGGCCCAGGAGCCCTTTCAAACACCTGCAAATGGGTGTGGTGCCTGGAAGGCCTGGCCCCCAGCCGAGGGCCAGCCAGGTCCTCTCCAGGTACACAGTCATTTCTCCAACACCCACAGCTGTGCCCAGCTCAGAAGGGCAGGAGGGGCTCTGAGTTTCGGGACCTCATCACCGAAACCTGACCCAAGGGTGGAAAGGAGGGCACGCCGATGGAAACTGGAGCTGAAACGTCCATCAGAAAACCCCTCTCCAGCGATTGGAACGTAATGCTCTCCCATTGACGTGTTTTGAATGTGACAGCTGGTAAATGTGCTCGCGCCCCGAGGCCCCGCAGCAGGGGCTTGGTCGGTACCCCGAGGCTGGCGATGCCATGGGGAGAGAGCAGGACAGTTGGGATGATCTCAGTGGAGCTGCCCAGTGACCTTTCACACACTTTACTGAGACAGGTTTTCTGTCCCTGCCATGAGCCACGGGTGTCCTCTTAGGACTGAGAGGGGCAGGGAGCAAGGAGCCTGGGAGGGGCGCTTCCCAACTAAATGGGGACAAATTGGCACTTGCTCTGCAAACAGGCACCTAGACTCAGGGCGGAGAGGTGAGCTCCCAGGCCCCTGGCCCAAGGAGGGGTCAGAGTCAACTGGCACTTGCACCTGGGAGTTTGGTGAACAGGGACGCTGACAAGTGATGGGAAGTAAGAGAAGGAATAGAAGCTGTAAGAATGGAATTCATGCCTCCAGGTCTATTACCCAAAAGTGACTGGTTGGAAAGCCATTGCTCCATTTAAAGGTGATCTTTTCTAAAAAAAAAAAAAACAACAACAACAACAAAAAACCTGACTAAATGTCCCTAACCTAGGGGAGCATGCTTGAGGAAAGACTAGCTGGGGATGTCACCCAAGGCCCAAGGCCAGCCTGGGTCACCCAGAGATGGTCTCCAGAATGAAGAAGGACTGGGCCAGGCCTAGGGAGCAGTGTTCTCAAACATTGGGGTGCATCAAAAATCTCAGGGTGGGGACAGCCTCAGCCCTACAGACCCTGATTCTAATCTGCATTTAGAAGAAGATTCCAGGTGATTCCGAAGCAGCGATCTGAGACCACTGGTGGAGAGAGAAACTCTGCCCATGGTTCTCTGAATTGACCAATCTTGTTCAGATGCAGCGGCTCACTGCTCAGCCGTGAGGAGTGAGAAAGGAGAGGAGGGTTAGATGCAGCCACGTGGCACTGCCAGGACGTCCACCCCTCCAGGGTACTGACCGAGCTGTTCAGGAAGCATGAGGTCAGGGGCACGTGGCCCGAGCTGCCCACGGTTTCTGTGCAGTTGATGTCTGACATCTATAACCCAGTGGGGCATGTGCTCTGAATGGCTTCATCACAAGGTAATGTTAACTACAACGTACCAAGGTACATTGTGAAAATGTATCATCTCCGGGGAGTGGAGATGAAGTAAGCACTGCTGACTGTAACTTGGATGCAACTGGAAAAGGCATACCCTGTGCTTGCTGAACCCACTTTATAAGCCCCCGATTCCCATGCACATTTCTCTGACCGTGTTCTGTCTACTGTGCCTGTTTTTATAACAAATTGTAGAAATCACTTAGGCTGACACTTGCCCCAACTGGGAGGGTGGCTGCTCATCAGATAAGCAAGAAACACTCAAACGTGTCACATTAACAATATTAAATACTGATACAACCGTGTTTGTTTATTGTATCATATAAAAGTTTTATTTTGCAAGGGATTAAAAATTAAAAACAAAAAAATCAAAAAATAAAAGCGGAACTTTACCACGGATAGTTCAAGAAACACTGCTGTAGATGCAGTTGCGCAGGCAGGATGGGGAAAGGGCGTGCGAGTGTGTGTGGGTGTGTGTGAGACAGGGGAGGTGGGGGGAGAAAGAGGTTAAACGCAAGGGGAAAGGGATAAAACTGCTCCTTTTCAGCAATAAAAACACTATTGTGTTGGGTAAGTATATATTGCATAGTTTCCACGATAAACAAAAACATCTGTTTCCATTCGGGTCGAAATGAGAACAAACCTCTGCCCTTTCCAGGGCCAGACCTCCTGCCTGGCCAGGGAGCTCCGGGCCAGCACTAAGGGCGGCCCTCAACCCACCTGAGACCCACCGCCCGCACAGTGCCAAAGCCAACGGACCCCGAAGCCGCTGCCCCTCCCTCCTCACCCTGGGCTGCATGGAAACCTTTGGCTCACAGAGAAGCCGACCAGAGGGCTGTGGTGCACTGAGACCCCCAGCACCGCAGAGCCCCGCTTCCGCTCCCAGGCAAAGGCCATTCTCTTCTCTTTGGAATCAACCCTTAGTGTTCTTTTTTTCTGCCACAAAGTGACAGCCAGGAGTCCTGCTTCCTGCAGGGAGTGCCGATGCAGAGAGAGGCCTTCATGCTTATGATGAGCGGGGCCCTTTAGGAACTTCATTCAAGTGAGACAGTGCCGGGGGGGTGATGAGTGGCCTGGCAGGGACCGCGGGCCTTCAGGCACCGCTCAGGAGCCACGGAACTTAGAGCTGCTGGGCCTTAGATTGTTCTCCGCCTCAGCTGTCACCACCCAGAGCCAGCCGAGGTGCCGACCCCGGAAAATGTGTGCAAACAACACAAGCAGGCTGTCCCCTTTGCCTGGATCCGAAAGGGTGGGCAAGGCACAGACAAATAGTGTGGGGTTTGTCACTGCACAAGCGGCTCCCGGGAGGACAGACTGCACTAAGGGGCATGGTGCTCCCCAAAACACAGCCCACAGGGCCCTCACAACCAATACCAGCAAAAGGTGTCCCTCACGCACTCTCCAACACAAACCGCACTGTCTAACAAGGCAGCTGTTGTTTTTACTGTGTTTAATTCCAGAGGAAAGGAGACTTTCCTGGCTAGCTGGGCCAGTGGTCCCACAGGACACATTGGAGAACCACCTTCCCCCATCCCACAGCGCACACACCTCACCTGCTCTCACACACACCTCACACACTCACCTGTTCACTCTCACCTGCTCACTTAGGCATGTGTGCTCACATATGTGCACACACAGATGTACACACACCTATGTACACATGTGCATTTTTTTACCTGACAACCATTTGCAGCGAGAAGAGTTGGAAACGTCTGTGCTGAGTGTGAGCACTTGTTCTTGTGAGAACAATCGCACGTTGGCATTTGGGCTGTTTCGGAGGGAGGGTCCTCCAACAGCTAAAAGCTCTGTGCCGACCTCCCTCATGTCACCTTCCAAGGAGTGACGGTCAGAGGCCAGGGTGGTCTCTCCAAACAAGCAATCAAGCCAGGACAAGACAGGACAGAAGGACACGCACGCCACAACAGTGGACGCACGATGGAGACGGCATTAGGTGACCTCGCTCTTTAGGAGGCCGCAGTATCTCAGAGACCATCATTTGCACAGTGACAATGTCTCCTCTTTAAAACCACGTAGAGGTCACCTCTCCTGAGTAAGCATTTTAAAGGCTGCCGTGGCTACTTCTCCGCCTCCCGCAGTTCCCTCAGAGCAGCTTGGAGGAGGCGCTGAAGTCTCCAGAACATGGTGGGGGCTGCTCTCTGGGGGCCACCTGGGTCTGCGCACTCCTGCACAGCCTCCCGCAGCTGCCGCTGGAGCTGGAAGGAAATGGCAGAGTTCTGGAGAGTCGAGGAGAACCAGTGTCGGAATATTTTGTCACAGACGACCTGAGGGGAAGGACAGGGAGACATTCATTCAGGGAGCACATCCCCTTGAGAGCCCAGAGCCCACAAGTGGTCCTTCCATAGACCTCAGCTCTGCTCCCACACCCCCAAGGGCCTCTGGGGAGGGTTTTGCAGACTCCAGTAGGTACCTTCCCTTCTGGAAATTAAACACTCAGCCCCACGAATAAACTTTGCATCAGGGAGAAGGCTACCTCATATCAGATAGAAAAATCCACTTCAGGCCTCAGAGCAGAGTATATTTCCAAAGATGAAGGGAGCAGGAAGTCACAGGCAGTAACTGCTGCGTAAGGAGCAGCCCCTCGGAGGACCTGAGAATAGTTGCTCTCCCCTCTATCACCACATTGCTGAGGTTGGGCATTTTTAGCCATAAATTGGTACAGTAACAGTGATAACCAGGACAGGGTGTCCTGAGGGTCCAATGACATGTTGGGGAGAAGTAGTATGCACATGTGATAGCACCTTGAGGCTCAGGGGAGAAAGGTGGTAAAGGTCTTTTTAGGAGCCTTTAGGATGGTTTAGTTTAAGCCATTTTCTTGCGGCCATTCATTCTAACCAGGTATGAATTCACTGATGCTGGAGCTCTCTTTACATTCCCAGTTTACACCTTCTGTGTGTTGCACAGCTTTCTGTTTCCTCTCTATTGGGAGAACGGGACTAGGAGCAGCATAATTAACACAGCTTCCTTTTTCTATATCACGCTTTGTATTAGCCTCATTAACAAATGCCTCCATGTTATGGAGCTGCTGTCTCACAGAAACAAATAACTTAACTTCTGTCTCCCAGTGCCTGCAAGGGCAAGGATTCTTTTTAAAAACATTCTCGTGTTGCTTTTTTTGAATTGATAATACATTTTCATGTGCAAAAATGTACAATGTCCCAAAGGACGGGCTGCACACTTAGTCTCCATCCCGGTCCCAACAGCCAGACACTGAGCGCTGGCTCTGAGAGACGACCCCCTCCTCGGCTCTCCTCGAGAGAGAGTGTACTCTATGCACACACACAAGCCTGTGCGTGCAAGTCTTTCTCCTTTACTTTCCATTAATGGCGGTATATAATGCTCGCTGTCTTACGGCTTCCATTCCCACTTAACCAAATATCAGGGAGAGCCTTCCAAATCTGTTCATATAAGGATACCAGAGGCCCGATGAACAAAATTCGTGCAAGAGTAGGCCTTCGCAACCTCGGCCGCCTCAGCTGCTGCCTTGCTTCCCACCCACTGATCATTCCAGAAGGTCGTCCGGAAGGCCATTCTGGAAGGTTGCTCTGCCATCCGGTCTAATTAGCAATTAGCTCTTTATTGTATAGGATACCATTAGTTTCCATGGCTGTCCCTTAAACCTGTGGCTGTATCATAAATTACTTAATTAGTTCCCCATGATGGAAATGTAGGCTGTTTACTAACTTTTGCTATTATGAACAATACTGAAATAAATACCTTGCATATATGTCACTTTTGTGAGTGATTAAATTTCTAGAAATTAAATTTCTGGGCCAAGGGGTATGTGCATTTTTTCTTTTGCTACATCTTGCCAAACTGACCCCCATAAAAGTTGCACTAAGTTACACACTCACAGCAATGTGCAATGAGAATGCTCCTCTGCCCCATGCCCTCGCCAGCACGTGTGTTATCTTTCATTTTTGCCAGCTCATGGGTGAGAAGGTTTCATCTGCATTTCTTAGCAGTCAGGTTGAAAGCTATTTCTGCTTCCCTTCCATTGAATGGTCGAGTTAATATCCTTTGCCCACATTTCCACCAGGTGTTGAACTTTTTCATATTAATTTGTAGATGTTCTTAATATCATAACGATCTTTGCCCCTTGCTTAGGTTGGTTTCTTGGGGAGCGGACTCTAAGAGGGAGGTTTGCACATGGAGATTTATAGAGGGGGCATCCTCAGGGACCACACTTCCACACTGTGCTTGGCAAATGCCCCACTCACACTTGTTCTGTGACCAATCACAGAACACTGCCCCAGGGATGTGACAAAGAAGCTCTGCTGGACAGGGACAATCCTGGGGATACTCTCGGAGCTTCAGAGGCTAAGGGATAAGGGTCCCCACTTGCCTCGATAAATCTCTAAGGGCCCTTTATATATGAGGTGGGACAAAAGAAGGTTTACAGTTGTGAGTACACAAAACACAGGATTTATTCTTGCATTATTATTTATTAGGAATTGTATATTTTCAGTAGGAACAACCATAACCCTGCTTTTGCCCCGCCCTGTATTAGTCTCTCATTATGGGCACAGGGCAGGTGGTTGCTGTTGTAGTGACAACCATCTTGTTCCCGCCACTGAAGCAGAGGCTTTCCCTGCAGACCCGCCTAGGATGTGCGTGCACATGAAGCTAGAGGCTGGGGCGGGGAAGAGGCCTCTGGAGGCCACATCACTGCTGCGTGCTTCCCACCCAGAGCTTTTATCTGGCCTGGTCCAGGAATTCCAGATTCACAACCACTGCCAGGTCTCCCAGAACAGTCCTCTTTTGTTGCCTGACGCAGCACCAAGCTCTGGCCTGCTCTGGCCCAAGCCCATCTCGCCAGGTCTGTATCCTGCGTTTGGGCACACTGGCCTTTTGGGTTGGAGGACGGCAGGGAAGAACAGCTACAGAAAAGTAAGTGGGGTAGTGGGTTGGATAAGTGAATAAGAAAGCAGGAAAGTGGAGGTGAGGCAAGGGCACAGACATGACTGAACACAGGCAACCAGGTGGTGGGCCCAGCTTCTCAGCCAGGGGCTCTTCCTGGTTGCAATCAACACCTATGAGCTCAGGCTCATCCACGCCCACCTGAGAGCCTCCAGGGAGGGCTGAGGGCAGATAACTTCTGCCCAAAGAAGAGGGAGTGTTCCCACTGATGGGGTCTGGAGCCCTGCTGTTGGGACCTCCCTGACTCTAGACCCTATCTGAGAGCCTGGACCCAGCATCCTTCCTATTTATTTATCACTGATTCCTTCCTATTTATTTATCACTGATTCCTGGACTTGGGACACATTCTCTCTCCTTCTATTACCCACCTGCTGGCCCTAACACATGCCTGTCAGGACTGTGGTGTCTGTCCAACCTCTCTAATTTGGACAGTTTCTCAGAATGGCTTTGCATTCTTTTTATTCTTAGTACTCATTCTGAGTGGGGGCAGGGAGGTGGCGGGAACAAGGCTGACTTTGCTGGGAGCTGTATCCGTTGGACCTCATGGCCAACAACTTCATGGGGCAAACAACAAAGAATGAATGACCACCGCCTCCCACCATCCCCACCCTTGCAGCACACATCAGGCCCAGGTGGCACAGGGTGCGGTGCTCCATAGAGCGGTCTCACCGCTGCTTACCTGCAGGTTGCTGTTGACTCTCTGCGCACCACACTTGTTGACTCTGAGATCGCACTTTGAGAAACAGTCAAAGAAATTGCAGTCTTCATCTCCCGTGCAATTCTGCTCGAGAATTTCCCTCATTTTAGGTTCAAAAAAAGCCATGTCCACATCGATAGCCACGACCTGTAACCAAACAGCACAGGGTAATTAAGGGGGCACTGGGCTCAGCACAGAGGGAGCCTGGGCAGCACCTCCATCTCTGTGTTCCCGAGCCGGGGTCACAGGGGGCCATCACAGAGCTCTGCAGCCAGCGGAGCCCAGGCCATGCAACTGGCATAGATCCTATCACAAGGCTTTCACTTTGAGAAGGACCTTTGCTGTCACTAGCGAAAGCCTAGGATTTGGGATTGTGCAGAGAGCATCCCTCTTCATTTTTAAATGTTTCTCAGCTTTTAAAAGTAGCATCTCTAAAATGTCTTAAAAATGAATGACTCCCCCTACTTGCTTTACTACTTTGGTCTCTGGCCTTCAAGGGTCAAGATTACAAAGCAGTGAGAGACAGGTCATCCACCCCCTTGAATATAATTAATAAAAGGAAACTACGTTCAAGAGGCAGGTCCGTGGGTGTGAAAATGAGGCTGACTGTATCTAGGTTGTCTACCTACGGCATCTCTGTTACCTGGCTTGCAATTGACTATTTGGATAGACATGTGGGGGGAAATGACAGCGCCAATGTTCTCAGATTAGGGTTGATATGTGTGGAGTCTGATCCAATATCATCAGACGCTACATCCCATTGTCAGCCTAAGAACTGTGACCCCTGGAATCTCTTTATCTTCTTGGCTTCAAACCAAAGAGGCTTCAAAACAAGAATAATATCTAAATTATGCAGATTTCCTTCACCACCTGAATTTAAAAAAAAATGAGCTCAAACCTGTGAAAACCTGGAGTTGGCCCAAATAAAGCAGTTTATAGCTTCAAGGTATTAAACAGCTTATAAGACTTGATGAATTTGAGGGAGTCTGTGGCATTTCACAAGCCTTCACAGGTCAACGTCAAAACATCACCCTTTCCTTCTCCCATTGGTAGCATCTCAAGAAAGGGCTCATTTGTTTTTGTTTCTCATTCAGGGTAGATGCCAAAGGCAATAAAGTTTCTTGGGGAATATTTCTTGAGGAAGGAAAATAATTTATTTCAGAATTTGGGGAGAATAATGAAACAAACAAACAAACAAAAAAACAGGGAGCTTTTTCCTTGTTAAGAGCTTTACCTAATTACTAATTCATGCACAGCAAACAGAAATTATCATTTTAATCAGTTTTCCTGTCTCATTATTTAGCCAAAAGAAATAGCTCACTTCATTATTTGCACATGTTAATAGACTGAAAAAGTATTAGGCTATGCTAATGATCTACAGCCTTTCTAGTGTATTATTAGGGCTACAAGACCCTTCTCTTTCTTTTACAGTTTCTGGCAATCCCCCCAGCTTCTTCTGGGGCCCCAGATGGAACTTCAGCTACTTACAATTTCTCTCTTTACCATTACTGATGGTTCCCTTCTCAACTCCTAGGAGAACCAGATTTATCTTTTAATTTTTGTGCATGGCATAGGATGGATTACAGCCATTATGAGCATAACTATAAATACCGAAAATAGGAACAGTGACCAAACAAATCAGAAGGCCTGCAGGAGGTTTCTCAAATTGTATCAGGAGAATCCTAAAATTCTTCCTGCGTGGAGTGGCCTAACTCATGCCACCTTCAAACTTCATCCTGTGCCAGCCCGGAAAGCACCGATGAGAAGCATTTCATTCTCCACTGGGGAACGTGGCTCTGGGGGAAGAAACATATCACCTGCCTGAAAGGAGCTCTTGCTGGCAGCAGTCCGGGAGCACGAAGCAATGATGTTCCCTACTTGTCCTTGTGCAACCCCTCCTTAGGCTAAATCGTCAAGACCTGTAAGTGGGGACCTGGAGGAAGTGAATGATTTAGAGTTGTCAATTCTTCCCGTCATCTGAGCAACTGCAACATGGCCTGAAGGGAGGACCTGCCTGCTGGTCCCCTAGTTTGTTTCTCAAACTCAGACGGCCACATCCATCCTCAGGAGGTCTTGGGTAAAGGCGGAGAACTTGCATTTCTAACCCGTTCTCTGGTGATGTGGCTGGTTTTTACTTAAAATCGTAGGTAAAATGAACTTCTTGAACCTCAGCCTCGTGAGGAAGGTCAGCAATGCCGGGGTCAGCACAGTGGAATCTGGTCCTTCCCTCCCCGACCTCACGCTCGCTCTGGCAGCAGCCAGGGCTGCATGCTGCAGGGCCGAGTGCTTCAGCACAGCAAGTCCGGCCTGGCCTGGTCAGGAGAGCAGCCAGGACTTCATTGAACAACTATCTCAGGCCTACGATGCAGGAGATGCTGGAAGGCACAATGGAGGTGGACCTTGCAAGCCAGTAATGCCCCATGTTGCTCACTCCTAGGGGAAGACCCATCAGCACCACCTCCTTCTAAAGCCTTTCCTGGGAACCCAGCCCAGACAGCTGCTGGGTTCCCTCGACTGCCACCACTCACTGACACGCCCTCATACTTGCTGGATGAATAAACAAATTATCTCATGACAGGAAGGACGGACCCCTAACTACCCAAAGCTGGTATGTGAACACTCCATGCCTCCTTGCCCAAGGCCTCAGGGTGGCTGGGTCCTCAGGACAGCTCTGAGGAGAGCCACGGTCCTTTGTGTTTATTATATAACCTTCCTGCTCACAAAGTAAGGAAGCCTCGGCCAGGACCTCAGCTCTGAGAAATAAGCCTATGAGTCTGGGCATCCTGACTTTCACAGCTTGTCTGGCAGGAGACCTCTCTGGAACCTCAAG